TGCTGCCAAGATGTCAAATAAATTCTTATCAACTTACGTTTCGGCGCTATCGCCTTCTTCAGAGTTGGAAACCTAAAGATAGTCGCTATCCATCCTTGACAAATGGCTATTCGAGTCCTCACTGATGGTACGCTAGTTATGGTATATGGTCGTCTAAATGACCGGTTGTTGTTGGAGGTGGGTTAAATGTTTTAAGGGTTATCATGCCCAATTGGAAACATTATGTCTAGGGAACCGGTTTTTGAAATTAAATTGTTGAATTAGGGAAGGATAGCGACTATAAACGTACGTTGATGAGAATTTATTTACCATCTCGGCAGCAGGATTTATTAAAATCTTATAAAATTAATGCAAAGCTATGCCAAGATTTATCGAGAGTCGAACATGGACGCATATGTTTCATTAGAACTCAGAACCACCTATACATAGAGGCTATCTGTCGACGTGACTTGATTTCTGTGATTCTTCTGCGTATGAATTCAAGCGCCTTTGGACCCTCTCCATAAACACTGCGTGTTGAATCGATGCAATTTCCAGATGGTTTTATTCCAGGTGCATGACGCAGGACCTTCTCATTCTGAGACTTTGATGACGTAAGTAAAAATGAAAGCGAACGAAAGTAGATAATGTGCCATTTGATAGTGTTTTTCTAGGTTTTACTACCCTTTGGTAGAAGTAGGAGTTAGACAGCATCTTCGACATATGATGCTTTCTGCTTTTGTAAACTGAGACCGCTCTCGGAGCCAAAATGCAATGATTGGGGAACGAAAAGGACGTGAGGGTAGAATTAGATTGTCATGTCCATGTCCAGCGTAATGGGGACTAACTTTCGTAAAAACTCTTGAATCGCGGCTTGTTATCTTGGTAGTGCTCCAGCACAAAAGCGTGCTAGACCGGAGCGCACGTATACGGTAGCACGATATAGCGATATGGGTTCCACTTAATTTGCAAGCTTGTGATACGACGATGGAATTTTCTGTGTTGTCTAGCTCTGTCTTATTCCCTACTATGTTTGGTATGGCTCACCTTGTGTGCAAAATAAATAGACAAACAAACAAAAAGTAAATGAGGAAGAAGGTTACGCCTGGCATTTTCAGTTTTAGCCTACTTTCTACAGTGCGGATCGAATTACCTCATGGACGAGAGAGGCAGTGGAAACTATTTGGTATAAAAATGCAGTAACTGATACATTTGCTGGCAAGTCTTCAAGTTTTTCAATTTTACAAAAATCAATGTTCCTAGTGATGGAAAAAATTGAGTATTAGCTGCTGGGACATCGGGATCGTTGTGATAAATTTTTAGCATTCGTGATAACAGGTGAAATATAAGTCAGTAATCTTAACGGAGCGATTGTTTTGAGTTTCCGCGACATTCCGTACCAGGAAGGCTCGTCGATGAAGATGTGTTTGAAGAGATGTTCCCGTTTTCGAGCGTCTTCATCTTCCCGGTGAAGTAGTATTCCATCGACTATTTTATTTCTTACCCCGACGTTCCGACAACACACGATCGACATCTCACTCACCCCAGTGTGGTGCTTCTGAAGAAGGTCTTACTTGGTTTTAGGATTGGCTTCATGCACTACCGTAAGCCCGCAAATCCGGCGCTCCACCCTTCTCTGCACTTTAACCCTTAGCATCAGAGAAGCAGATTCGTGGGAGGTCCCCACCACATTTTCACTTTCTTCTTATTCTATGGCTGCTCAGAGCCTTCGTATAGGTGGCGCATGCATTTGACGCAGTACAGTGAGGTGTAAGATTGAGTCAACAAGAGAACATAATGAGTTTGAACATTTTGTGATTGAACCAATGTATTCACACAAATTGACCCATGAATAGGGGGTTTTTATCCTTGGTAAGAATGAACAAGAAGGGATGATTGGCTTCGAACTTCACTGGCTCTTCCATTACAGCGGACAATGGTACGATCTTGAAAAATGTAGCAGCCGCTGCTGTAGTTCCGTCCTCATCAACCTGAATGAGATTTCCCTCATGAAGAAGAGTACCCAAATGAGATTACGAAGGAATACGAACGTGAAACATCTAACTACCTCAATTATGGCTTTGTGAGCAGCATCGGAGACCTTGAGCGGAGGTTCTTTGCTGATTCCGGTCAAGTTAGCGTTGTCGCTAAACATCGCCGTAACACCCATGCCAATCAGCGCCTTCTTGAGTTTGAAGTCCGTCTCAATCTTCATCTTCGGGATTGAAATCTGTGAAAGAGGCTATTACCAAGGAAAACAATTTCATTTGCAGTTCCTCCTCCGATTCCTTTTTCTCCACATTTCACACGTTTTCAGAAATGCTTTCAGACCTTTTTCGAAAACTTGATAAATGTTATCAATATTGAATAGTACCGATATGTAGGTTTGTTTCAGCTTCGACAGAAGGCTTTGAATCCGCTCTCCAGTGAGCTTCGATCGAACTTCGTTAAGGCCAAATCTGGAATAATGCTAGACATTTATGAACTAGTAAAATTTTGATCCCTGAGTTCCATTTTACGTTACATCAGGTTCATTTTTAAGTCATTCATGTAGCGCTTCCTCACCTGCTTTTGGGTAAGAAGATATTGAGTGCATATGAGGTATCCAAATACTGAAGGGAAAGAACTTGAAGGTCGTTGTCTTCAGCGTAAAGCCTGTGCTCATCAAAATCATTCATGTATTCAACCTGAAATGGAATAACGCATCTTCATTTCCAAATATGGAAGAAGAAAAGGAAAGAAGCTAGTTTCCAGTCACTCAATTGTTGTGGATCGAACTCGTAGTAGCGCCTGCAAGATGACGAATCTTTTCATCACATACAGATTTAACTTCCATCCTATTAATCCATATAGCGCTAGATATAAGGAGCACCACTTTCTCTGATGGAAGGGTAAAAAACCTTCGTTTTCTACTCCTTTTTCACATAGCGCCATTTTTCATATCTTTCTTACTCAAATAGTACTACAACAAGCAACAATACATAAAAAAGCAACACCAAGAAAACAAGGGTTAGATGGAAGCGAAAATGTCGCCATGCGAAAGACTGATGAAATGCCAAAGCATGGGTGTTCACTCTGACGTGCCCGTTTAGGTTGCCTCAGACTGCTAATTGAAGTATAACATCGACATCCTCATCCATCCTCCCGAACCAGCACAGGAATGGTGAAATGGAATAATAGAAATCTTCGGCGAAATTGAGAAACATCCACATTAGATCGGTTAGATGATGGTGCACGTGCACGTTTGTTGCTCAAAATGATTCGGGAGTGTGGTAACACCTCCCCGGAAATCGCTTCGCACCCGTCGCATCCACTCGCGCGCTTTTGGTTCGAATTCCTTGTGTAAGGTGATTGTAACCACCGCGGAACCGCTGCCGCTTACCGTGTGAATTCGGGGAGAATACCGCCACCGGTTGATCTCTGATGATATTTTCAAGGGAACGAAGATTCGGTACGGAAACCAGGTAAATCCGATTCTTGCGCGCCAAACCCCTTGTAATGCAACACAGAAAACTGAGTGCCACAGACCTACCGTGCCCTATTAAGTTCCGTTCCTGAGTTCTCTCATTTTCCCCATATTTTTAGCAACAACCGAAGTTCAATGCAAAAACACAAAAGAATATGTCAGTTTTTATGAGCTAATAGACCAACCTGACGTTCATTTCCGGCAGATCTGTAGAATGTGCCGTTCGAATTCGAGGTCTTGTAAAATTTGAATTCCCACTCAGCAGTAAAATAGATAGCATTGACAATCAAGGAGTACGCCCCTGCAAAAAGGTATTTAGTCTCTTCAAGTGAATCAGACGGTCATCTTGACCACAATTAGACCATCACCATGAAGGTATCAGGACAGGAGTTCCAACGAGATCCCTCCATTAAGTGTACTTCGAGAAAACGGTCATGAAAGTACCTTCAACAGAGCCTTCGTTTACCATGTCGCTAATTTTTCCCTCAGTAGTGTTAGCTATGAAATCATCAATAACCTGAAAGAGCTCCGGCAGTCTAAATTTTCTGAACTGATATCAGGGTGGGCTGGAAATTTAGAAATTACCTTAGCAGCTTCCTTTGCTCTCCCAAAATCCAAAGCTTCCACTTTTGCCTCGTACGCCTTTTTGATGGTTTGCTCATAGTCGTTCTCAACTTTGAACTGCTTACTAGAAGTATCAAATGCGAGTGATTGATAAGGAATCATTAAGATTACACCACCGACTCCAGGAAAAATCCATTAGCTATCCTGCTCTTCACGCCGTTTTTTGAGTTTGTGATTTGGTGGAAAAGCTTCGAGTAATACTCTTCTACTTCGTTATCTGACGCTCCTGAAAACTTTCGACGACACACAAATTATCAAAGCTTAGGAGCGTCTAACCACGCCCCTTACCCTTTGCAATGACTGAATTTATTTGAGACTTCGTAGTTCCTTTCGAGCCCGCTTCGATCATGGCCAAAGCAAAGATCACGGAAATCGGAGACACCACCATAGAGACGTTGGATGGTGCATACCGTAGCATGCTAAGGCCAAAGTCAGTTTCGACAGATGGGAACATTCCTGAACAGATAGATTGGTAACTCAAGCGAAACCTTGAAAGTTTGCTCCAAAGGCCATTGGAAGTATTCTGAGGAGGCTTAGAAATAAAACGATGATGAAGATTTTGTGTGCCATGCGTGCGACGGCAAAAAAAAGTTAAGAAAAAAGTCACAAAACCGGAAGCTAGCTCACACCCAGAACAGCACACTTTAATGAATACCAGTTTGGCTATTTCAAGAACTTGAAGGTCAAACAAAGACGGGAAGAAGTGGAAAATTTCAAAAGAACCCTCGAAGCAGAGAGCACTTCATTTTAGCTGTGTAGCCTTGAAAGGAAAGGCGTCATTAAAGGCCAAAGCAGAACAAGGAAGTTTTTTTTGCAACTGTAACAATACACTAGAGGAATCAAAAAGTGAGAAAAGAAAAAGCACGAAATATTCAGACGTCGTAAAACTTTTAAAGCCACGAAACAATCAGAAGTATGCCCATGAAAGCATTGTCGGAGTGTGGTCATCTACCCTAACCGCAGAATGAGACACATTCGACATGACAAACCGTCCTGGAACTATTGTTACCATGAGCAGTTCATTATCCGATTCCAGCAGTATTATATCATTTTTCCCATGAGACTATCCGGTTGAAATTGGTATGCAACCACTGTAGGAGACGTCACGGATCGAGTTTCTCTCTAGAATCATGCCCCCCGCTGCACTTTGCGATTTAGACACAAGAGACCGGGGAAAATAAAAAATCATTGAACAACATTACTCATACATAGACATCAGGTACACCGAATTGTTATAACGGGGTAGCATATTGTCCTATAGTGCTAAGGTGTCATTAGTGAGGAGATTGACTGCATATATTATACTATCAATTGTAAGTAAGGAAGTTAGATTAAATGGGGGCTGCATACTCACCCGAACCTGCTTTTATGTTGCTACTATGAGTGTTGAAATTGTGAATCAAACAATGAGAGTGGCTGAGTCACTACATAGAGCTGCAAAAAATTGAAGAACGACCCTAATTTCGCTGTTGACAAAGAGTTTTCCGGCCCCCTTTTGATAGACTTTCTGTACAGCGCGAACAAGAATAGAGAATAGGCACCAATCGAAGAACCGTGTTCGGTTTGATTGTGGGCAGGGTAATCAGTCCAGATACTTTCTGCAATGTTCATTCTTATTGTCTGTATGGATACTTCTGTCAATTACAGTGATATCCTGATAGTTTTCTAATTGTACCGAAATGATATGTGGGAGCTGGCGTAGAGGCGAGAAGCGCGCTCTCTCAAATGCATGGCCGGCGGTTCGGATCCCGGATCGTTAATCTGACTTTTGTCTTCCCAGTCGAATCAGGGACCCATTTAGCCCTGTAGGGAGATCTGGGGTTGTCCTAAACCATGCCTTCTTCTGAAATGGTCGGTTTCCGTAAGAGGTAAAACACCAAATTGCTCATCTGGTGGTCTCCGCAATTCATTGTGTAAGGGGCAAATGATTCAACAACGATTCTGACTAAAAAACGCATTCAAAAAAA